GGCCCTGCTGTAGGCAGTTAGTCTCCTCGTCTGTGTGTCTTCCTCTGGGAAGGTGGGAACCAACTGATCTCAAACCTGCTCTCCTCTGGCTGCACCCTGGAGGGTCTGTCTGGGCCTGAATCAGGTCCCAGGACCAATGACAGTGCATGTGTGATGGCACAGTGAGGTCTCAGAGCTCCCACCTTGTTCACAGGACATAGTGACCCTGCTCTAGAAGGGGCTGGACTGGGACTGGTTTCTAAATGAGACAATTAACATGCTTTCCACCCCCTCAAACACAGAGGTCTGCAGCAGGCTGCACTACCCATGCTGTCTCTTGACAAGGTCCGGGCATTGGAGGACACTCCCGAGAAGAGGGGAGTTCCTGTGCTCCCCAGAGTATAGGGGGAAGCTCCCGTGCTTCCAAGAAGAGGGGAGTTCTTGCGCTTCCCAAAAGATCTGAACTAGGGAGTCTCCATGGCAACGCCTGCTAATGCTCTCCTGTTTGTTCTTGGTTAATGCAGAAGTAAGTTAGTTATTAATTGGCCCATGAAAACCTAATTCAGACCTAAAAGCTTATTGATTTATTGTTCTTACACTTGAATCATTATCAAAGAAAGTAAAAAATGCTAAAGGAATAGTCAGGAAAGAAATGTTTTGGCCCTGAGAACCATGGAGAACAAGCTGCCCTGAACCAGCTGTGCTTGGAAACTGTAGTCTAACACAGGGGGTACATACTTGCGGCAGCAGTACATTCCTAGTGTATGCAAAATGTCAATAGTTCGCAGGCTGTGTGGAGGTTTGGTATTTCTAGTTAAGAGATAGATTTCAGTAGAACTAACATAGATTTGATGAGTTGCTTTAAGTCACTTTGAAGTAATTAATAAATTAGCCAAGTTAATTGAGTGCTAAGGAGATAGAATGATTTTAGTAATAGAATATAGAACAGGACTTCCACGCCCACTATGAAACTAGGAAGTTCAATAGAATGATTAATTGTTACCTAATGTTGTGCTGTTTTAAATAATTGATCATGTTAGAGAATGAGCTGTACCGAGGAAATTAATTGTCCCTAATGTTTTTCTTAAGGTAACCAAAGAAATGCCTTTTGGTATGAGACCAAGAGAGTGTCTATATGTTCATGAGAAAACATGTATTGATTGTCTCTGTTCTGTGCTGGGGACCAGCCTCCGGCAAAATGTCGTGTCAGGGGTTCCTGAAAGGATGAGATGGCCTCAGCGACTTGTTAAGCGACTGAAACTTAGGGGCTGAGGGGAAGGGAATGAGGAGACACCGACACTTTGTGAGGTGTTAGTATCTTCTGCCGAAAGGCTCAACAGGTTCTTTATTTATACATTTTTTGCAAGCAGTGAGATTACATCATCATGCGCATAGAAACAAAACAGAAACAATCAGTGCATCTCTTTTTCCATGGGCTCTTGGCCACTATGTGCTCTCAGTAAGAAGGCAACCTTCAAGGTTAATAAAAAACTAAGTCTTACACTAGAACTCATTGTTTCAGCTAAACAATAACCTAAGACAGTAGATAGCTGCCAGTACATCCCTATCAGCCAAAGCCTAAGCAAGAAAAGACTTTTCTTATTCTCATGGCCTTCAGCCGGGGACCGGCTGCTACTCAGCTATCAGAAATTTTTTCTATTTAGAAACTCCTAACTCAAATAGCTTCATTTAAAAACTTTCCCAAGAAACTTCAAGAGAAGGCAAAAGAAGGACCCACTACAACTGTTGTGCTGGATTGCTTGTCAGGCATGCACAACAAACCATCTCCCATTGTCAAGTGGGCCAAACTGCCCAACAACTAATTTCTAAACAGACAATTTTCCGTGCTATTTACTTACCGTCTGCTGATACATATAATTTATTGCCTAATATACTTTCTGATAAATTTTTCTCTCTCTATGACCAAGAACAAAAAGCAAAGGATGTCAGATCTTCAGCCCTATGGTGTGAGGCCCCCTCTCTTAGCTGCTTGTCAGTATCCTATCTGGCTGGGGCAACAAGACCCCCTGCAGCAGTTCTGCTTTAATACTTATGTTGATGTGATCTCACTGCTCACCTTAAGGTATAAATAAAGACCCGCTGAGACCCTCAGTAGGAGATACTTGCATGAAAGAAGTTGTCTGTGTCTGCCTCAACTCCACTTCCACTCAGCCCCCCTAAATAAGATTTTTGCAGACGCTGTCCTCTCCTTTCTGGCGACCCCTGACACGACATTCAGCTGGAGCTGGTCTCCAGCAGAGGTCTATGGGCCACTCAGGATTTCCCACACACACGTTTCTCTACCTAATCTTCTGACTGCTCACCAATTTTTGGATCACAAACGAGCTTCTGTACACAGAAGGCAAGGAAAAATTTGAAAATAATCTGACAACAGCTTGGTAAGTGGAAGTTTTAATAAACAGGAAGACCTACAACAATTGTCTAGGATAACCATGGAAAAGTAGAACTCTGTGTCTAGCAGTCAGAATCTTAAATTTATTTAAATGTCTCCATCAGGGCCTCCCTGGTGGTGCAGGGGGTGAGCTGCACAGCATCTGCATTGTAGGTTCGATCGCAGGCTGGTCAGGGAGATTCCCACATGGTGCGGCAGACCTCTCCCGTCTCGCCCTCTGCTCCCCTCAGCAGTGTTTTCAGTCCATTTGCCTGTTCTGATCCCCACTCTGTCTCTGGTGAATCCTCTCACCCTCCCGTGACTCTGGCCTGTACCCCAGTTCATCTATGCATAAATAAATAAATCTTCAAAAAAATTTATAAATAAAAAATGCTTCCATCAGGTTCAGGTACATATGCAGTCAAGATGGTCTCCATAACACAGGATTATCTCAAGACAGTGTCATGTGGCAGTTTCTAGTGCAGAGAAGGCAAGTGAATTGTACATTTCAAGGAAATATAGGGATTTTGGAAAATCCTAGGCCTCCACCCTCAACCCAATCAAAGCAAAATTGTAGGCCTGTTCACACTCTCTCTGCCTGGGACGTCACTGTGGTCCAGGTGTACTGTGTAAGGTCCAAGTCTGGTAAATAAGAAAGCTCTGCTTTTTCAAAGTTTCTTGATGCCTATTGGCGAAGGGTATTTTGCGATCTTAACAAGGACCAGCAAGCCACAGCATCAGTCATTGATTGGCTGAAACTGACACAAAGCACACAGTTTATTTCTTGAAAAGCATTTGGTTTGGTTTTGGATTATTACAAATAAAGCTGCAATGAAACATAAATGCCTTGAAATATGATTATTGAGTCATGTGGCAAGTATTTGTTCATTTTTTTAAGAAACTGCTTCTTACAGTGCATGAGAGATCCAGTGTCTCTGCATGGCACGAGTATTTTCATATCAGTATTTTATATTTTGATTGTTTTATATGTGTGTGCTAGTATTTATAGGAATGGGATGTATCTGCATGTTTTTTTTTTTTTTTTTTTGCACAGAAAAGCAGGGGTGTAGGCCAGAGGTGCAGGGGGTGAGACAGTTCACCAGAGAAAGAGTGGGAAGCAGAACAGGTGAATTCACTGAAATACACTGCTGAGGGGAGAAGTGAGCGAGACAGAAGAGGTCTGCTGTGCTATGTGGGTTAGTTCCCTGGCCAGGGATAGAAGTCAGGTTGTAGCGGTAGTAGTGGTGATAGCACTGAGACTTAACCCGTAGGCCACCAGGGAGACCTCTATCATCATGTTCTTAATTTGGATTTCCTTACTGGGTAGTGATGTTGAACATCATACAGAATGCATATTGCCATCAGGATATCTTTTTTGGTAAAATGTCTCCTCAAGTCTTTTGCCTAAAATTAGATATATTTTTAGTGCAGAATTTTGAGAGTTGGTCTATATTCTAAATACATGTCCTTTGTGACATTTGGGAACATTCAAGTATTTTCTCTCTGAGTACTTTATCATTTCAGTCTCTTAATAGGATATTTTGCTGAACAAAAGTTTTAAATTTTAAAAGTTTGTAAATTTGGCATTGTTCTATTTCTTTTATGAATCAAGTTTTTGGTGTCATGTCTAAGAACTCTTCACGAAGTCATAGGTACCAAAGTTTTCCTCCTCTAAAATTTGTATATTTTACATTTAAATTTACAATCTATTTTGAGTGAATTTTTGTGTAAATATGAGAATTGACTATTTTATTTCTTCTTTTATTTCTATGTTTTCTTTTTCACTTATTTTTCTTTTTTGTTTATGGATAGCCATTTGCTCCAACATCACTGTTTGAAAAGACTATTCTCCATCCAATTGCTTTGCACCTTTGTCAAAAGTAAGAGGTGTTGATCTCTTTCTCCATTCTCTATCCTCTTCCATCAGTCTATGTGTCCATCTCTCCATAACACCAATCTGTTTTTTTTGTTTTGTTTTGTTTTGTTTTTTATAGAGGCATGTTTTATTTATTTGTTTGTTTGTTTGTTTGTTTTGTTTATACAAGCACTGGGTACAGTCAGAAGTGCGGGAGGGCGAGAGAACTCACCAGAGTCAGAGCGGGGAGCAGAACAGGCAGAAGGACCAAAGTACACTGCTGAGGGGAGCAGCGGGCGGCAGGAGAGGTCTGCACGCCATGTGGGACCCTCCTCCGATGGCCGGGGAGCAGCCGGGGATCAAACCGGCACCACAGAGGCCGGGCAGCTCCGCAACCCAGCGCCCAACCGCTGCGCCACCGGGGAGGCCCCAACACCAATCTGTTTTGATTACTGCAGCTATATAAAAGTATTACATTTATCTAGAGTGATTCCTCAACTTTATTTTTAACAAATTTACTTTAATGAAGCAAATGTCATCTCTGCATTATTTCAGTCACTCTGTCCAAGAGCTAATTTGGACCAACTTCTCTCCATTTCAGCTGTTGTGATCATCAGCATGCCCCTTGTGACATGAGGACACAGGTTGGTAGACAAGGTACTTTTTTAAATTACTCTAGGCATCTGCAAAGTGAGGATTTTAAGGAACACAACACCAGAGTGTCCTTGGTGTCCTTCAAGAAAAAATTTCATGAAGCACCAGAATAAAGCCAGCAACAAAGTTTATTGGGAAGCCATAAAACAGAACACTGTGAGAGGAGGTTAGACAGCCTCAGAAAGCAGGAGAGCTGCCTTGGGCAGCAGTAAAGTAGTTGGGATTTTATGTTTCTTCATTTCTTAATTACACATACCTTGCTCCCATTACTCCCCAGACACTCAGACTAAATGAAACTACCACTCCCTCCTACTTTTCAAGTGAGCAAACTGCAGTTGAAAGATGCTTCCCAGGCTTCCTAGACCTGGCAGAACTTTGCTCATCCTTGAAAAGAGACAATAGCTCCAGCGGAACTCAGGGTGGCAGAAATGCAATTGTGTTCCTCTGGGGGAATGTGTGAGGGTCCTTTTCTATTCTGAACATGTGGTAGGGGTTAGTCTAATGAGGCTGAGCCCTTAACCTGTGGAACCTGACCTATCTCCATTTAGACAGTGTTAAAATGAAGCTGAATTGTAAGACATCTAGAAGGTGCCAGAGAATTGCTTGGTGATGTGGAAAAACACCCACATGTTAGAACTGGCTCTCAGAATCTTAATACCTACCTACAGAAAATCCACAGAAGCAAGGAAATTCCCCCTGATACACATGTGGTCAAAATTCAGGGATGTAAATGAAAACTATTACTGTCTTATGATATAATCCTCCATTTTTCTCTACTTAATGTCCTTGTAGTTGCACAAATCAGATGTTTTCATGTTTAGTTGAGGAAAACACTGTAACATAAAGAGGTACTGGCAGAAGGTGAGTTCATTTGCATAAGAGGCCATAGGGTTAAATACAAAGGGAACAGGGCAAGAATGAAAATGAGATATTTCAACCAATAACATTGGGGACTTCCAGGTCAAGGGCAGGGCAGAGGGTGGACATTTTCTGCAAGTCACTGAATCAGGAGCAGACCAGATCCTGAGAAGGGATTCTCTCTGTGGAATAAAAGCCAGCAGGAGGCCTTTTCATACTTTGAAGAAGCTGGGGCAGAGGCTGTTCCTTGAGGGTCACTACCTGCACCTCAGCTCAGCACTCCTGCAAAAGAAAGGAGAGTCTTGTTTCTACACCTACTCTACAAGCAGCTTCCTTTCCTCTCTCATGGCCTCATGTTATAACACCGCAGTAAGAAAGAGGAAATTCTTTTGTCACCTTGAACCAAAGTTATTTTTCAGTGCAGGCTTAATTAATTAAATGGCAGGAGAAACTTGAGTGTAAACTGCCAGCTCAATAGTTAGATCCAAAGTCTTTCTCATTAATTCTGTCTTGTCACTGTCTACCATCAATTCTATGGAAACTGAGTATGTCTCTAAAAGAGGATTAAAAAGCATTACCTGTTGGCTGAAGTCCAGAGTATCCCAGGAAAGAGAAGGGATGATATATACTTAAAAGAATTAGAAACAAGTCTGTCCCCACATACAATGCTCCCAGGCCCTGACCAACAACCTGAGATTTTTCTGACATTACAACCGGCATCACATAATGCCAGGCCAGAAAAAAAAAGTATAAACTGAGAGCAAGGGACCCATGATGTGTCTGCATATAAATTCACTATATTTTCATCAGCCTTAGTAATACTTCCCACAAATTTGTATTTGTCCCACGATCTCACCCTGAGGTCTCTATGAATGCTAATCCTTCCCCTACTTCTATAGGTCATAAACTCTTATATTTAATTAAGCATGCTAATCGTGACCTGTTGATTTCTGAATTTTCAGGAAATTTGAGGTCAGTCGAGGAAAAACAGGCCTGCTAGTGTACAGAAAACTAAACTGAGTGAAGTCATCCTTTTCTTCCACCAAACTCTAAGAGGACTCTCAGCTACGACTAGGTGCCTTACCTTTGTGATTCCTGAAGTGGATGAACAGCCCCACCCCAAGGAAGAGCAGACCCAGAACAAAGCCCCCAAATCCACTCAGCATCTTGCTCTGTGCAGATTCAGACTGTGCCCCTGAGGAAAGAAGCTAGTTTTAGTGATTTTTGCCCCATATCCAACTTTTCTAATACACCCTGAGATTAAGAGCTCTGAGAAAAAGTGATGACTGCCTTCAAAGAACTAGAATAAATGAACTTTTCTGGAAAGAGATTTAAAAGTCACACTGCATAGACACAAGGTTCAAGCCCTGAACTCATTCAACTATCACAGCCTTGACGTAGGCCAGTACTTCAACATCTGATGAATGAGTAACCTGAGATTCAATGAAGTTGAATAGCTTGTTAAGGGGGACAGAGCCAATAAAAGACTATTCAACTTCCCTTATATTAGGAATTGTAAAAGAGGCTTCTCTTCTCAGATCACAAAGAACCACCCAGAAGCAATCATTCTAGAAGTACAGGTCCAGCCAAGGCAAGATTAGTGTCCAGGGCAAACAGGTGACCAGGATCTGTGACATCACGGGAATATAAACTTTTCTGCTTGTCAGGCTTAACTAACTGCCTCCACTGGGAGGACAGGTATTTGCAGAAATTATCACAGGGTTACACCCAAAAACCTGTGCTGAAGGAGAAAAGAAGACAGAAAAAATGAAAATATGGTGTGGGCACAGGAGAAACCTGAGACTCAAGGATAAGCCAAATCCCCGCCAAGGTGGATAACGAATTTTTCAGATTAAAAAGGTTCTCACTCCACTCCATTGTGATAGGGTTCATCAGGCTAGGGTGCGCCACATGGCAGGTGTAGACCTCTCCACTCTGAGGAACATTTTCAAGCATCACCAGGGTCTGGTAGGTCCAGTCTCCATTCTGGATCAGGCCTGTGGAGACGACCCCAGCCACCTCCTCCTGGCCATTCCGGAGCCACCTGACTTCATTGTGGCTTGGATAGAAACCATTCACAGAGCAGACCAGGAGGCTGTGGTGCTGTAGGGATGTGGTCTTTGAAGGATACACAGTCACTGTGGGCTGAACTAGGGGAGAAATGTAGAGGAAATAAGTGAGAATGATGAATAAGAGGCCTTGGCTGGTGCCTTTCTGCCCCCAGGCACTAGTCTCAGGTCCTGTCTCAGGGTCTTAGGTGGACCTCCCTCAAAGCTGACCACATGGCCCATTAGGAATTAGTGCCAAGAGGCTTAATTTTAACCTTAGAGCAGGGGTCCATTAGATTTGAGAGATGTTGAAGGAATGCTGAAGGTTTTTTTCATAGCAAGAAACAGTAAGTCATTGTTGAATTTGAGTATTTATAAACATTGTAAAGCATTGGATGCATTAATTAATTGCATGATTTAAAAAAAATATTTATTTATTCATTCATTCATTCATTCATTCATTCATACAAGCACTGGGTACCGTCAGAAGCGTGGGAGGGTGAGAGAATTAACCAGAGCCCGAGTAAGGAACAGAACAGCCAGACTGAGGAAATACACTGCTGAGGGGAGCAGCGGGCGTGGCAGGAGAGGTCTGTCAAGCCTTGTGGGACCCTCACCTGTGGCCAGCAATCAAACCGGTGCTGAAGAGGCTGAGGGCAGCTTCGCAGCCCAGCGCTCAACCGCTGCGCCACCAGGGGAGGCCCATGCATGATTCTTGTATCCAGGCTACCTGGGTTCAAATCCAAGTTCTGTCTCTTACTGATTGATCCTGGGAGAGTTTTTAAATTCTTCTGTGCCTCAGTTTTCTTCTTTATGAAGGGAAATGTAAAAAGAAGCTGAGAATTAGTATATGTTGGTTCTTAAGACTGTTTGAGAATTACACGGACATAAAATATACGAAACTTAGGCCAGAACTTAGTCTTCTATATAAGTTAAATATTTATTTCCCTTGTTAACTGGGAGAGAAAATATGATTTAAAGCAGTGTGATGAGCTGAGGAACAACAGTAGGATACACAGGGATGTAAAGTGTGAAATCTTGGGAATGCTATACTCAAACTTCACAATGCCACAGAAATGGTTTTACCCTGGGAAGCTTTAGTAGACAAAAGTGAGTCTCATACTCTTATGAGTTGAATGCCAAGAACAACATGAATTCATCATCCTTCAAGGATGACTGTAATCACTACAGGCAAGAGTATAGTGAAAAAGAAACACTCAGCCACTATTGGTGAGGATGTAAACTGGTATGGAGATTCCTCAAATAATTAAAAATGGAACTATCACAAGACACAGTAATACCATTGCTAGGTATTTACCCAAAGAGTATGAAAACAACATAAAAGATTTATACACTCTTATGATCATAACAGCATTATCCACCATAGTCAAGGCATAGAATCAACCTAAATGCCCTTTGACAGACAACTGGTTAAAGAAATTGTGGGAATATATTTAATGGATACTCAGCTACTTAAAAGATGAAATAGTGCCTTTTGGGACAAAACGGATAGTTCATTGAGCGACTATGCTAAGTGCAATGAGTCAGAAAGTGAAAGGCAATTACTGGTGGCTTCTCTCATTTGTAGAATGTAAATAACCAAAGAAAACAAACCGGCAAAACACAACAAAAGTAACTGTCAGACTCTGTGAAAACTATGGGTGGGAGGAAGGAGGATGCAGAGGGGTAAGCTGATGGTGTACTGGCCCTGGAGCTTTGATGGAAAGCAAGTGAACACATGTTGAATATGAAACTATACTCCCAAACTCATATAGTTTTGCAAACAAATGGCAAATAAGCAAAAAAATTGATGAGCTAAAATAATATTATGGTACCTTCTACAGATCAATACCACTCCTTTGCAAAACAAGCATCTCTATTATTGGAATTGTGATAATTTTACAAGTGTTTCTCGTTCAAGCTGACATTTGAGTCAGGGTAGGGTCTGGAACTCTTTGAGATGTGTGATTAATGTCCAAGACAATCCCTGACCCTACCAGGCTCAAAAAATATGATTTTAGGGCCTCCCAGTGGCGCAGCGGTTGAGCACTGGGTTGCGAAGCTGCCCGCAGCTTCTGCAGCACCAGTTCAATCCACAGCCGCCGGGTGAGGGTCCCACATGGCGCGCAGACCTCTCCTGCCACCCGCTGCTTCCCTCAGCAGTGTACTTTGTCAGTCTGCCTGCTCTGCTCCCTGCTCTGGCTCTGGTGAATTCTCTCACCTTCCTGTGCTTCTGACTGTACCCAGTGCTTGTATAAATAAATAAATAAATCTTTAAAAAATATATATGATTTTAGAGAAGGAATGAGAAACCCTGAGGGAAAAACAATTTTACTATATGTTAATGGTAGATTTAAGATTGGTGGTAATTTATGACTAGCAATTTTGCATTATATTTCATTTAATAAAAATGTTTAATTTTCTATAATAATAAACAGAATAAGAAAAGACACAGACTGGACAAAATGCTGAATCACCTATAAGCAAAGTGTTAATCATTGCATTGTCTATAAAATCACTGAGAAAAACACAAGGACCCCAGAGATAATTGATGATTTTAGAGCAGTAAAAATTAAACAAAATATGTGAAAAATGTTCAGGAGACTTCGAAATCAAAGAAACATAACAAAGACATTTTTCAATGGTATTGGTCAATGTTGAGAATATCTAAGGTGGGAATAATATGCAGTAAATTGTCACAACTATGAACAAATAATATGTAACTACCTAAACAACAACATTGTACAAATAGTTACATCAGTGTGATAAGTAACAATTATAACTGAAAACCCTGATTTCATAATCACTTCAACTATGTGAATACACTAAGAAAATATAAGCAAGAAATTTAGACACAAAAGAGCCTCTAAGATTAAAGGTGCATCACAGGTCGGCCCCCCTCCTCAAAAATTAGTCTGAGACTTTTTTTCTCAAAGAAATTTTATTCACACAAACACATGCCGGCTATATTACTGGTTTCAGGATTAAGGAGGGGTTGGGACAAGCCTGTGACCAGCCTCATCAAGAGTTCTGAATTATTTTACATTCCTCACCTCCCTAAACCCTCACTCCAACTACGGACACTTTCACGTTCCTTTTCTCTGTATCTAACCCCCCACCCAATCAAGGTTTCTCTATCTCCAGCGCTTGCACTGACACCTCCATTATGTCCCACTTGACCTCTGCCGCAGTGCCCACCCGAGGCCCTCTCTTCTGCACCCCCCACACCTCACCACACTCGCCTCCTCAGATCCCAGCCCCCCCACATCCTCTGCTCCTCCACACCTAACAGTGCACCCCTCACTACACACTGACACCCACAACCCAACACGGACAGTGTCTCTGACACAGTCTCTCTCTCTCTCTCTCTCTCTCTCTCTCTGTCTCTCACACACACACACACACACACACACACACACACACACACACACACACACACACACGCCGGCAGCCCACCGGCCTTGCTCACCTCGCCGCTGCACTGTGAAGCTCTCACCAACGCCGTAGTTGTGTCTGCAGAACGCGTCAACCTGGGCCCGCCTCCGCTCCAGGACGTCCTTCTGTGCGTTCCAGTACTCGGCGCTCGGCCGCTCCAGCTCCGTGACCGCGATGAACTCCCCCACGTCGCTGTCGAAGCGCAAGATCCTCCTGGTTGTAGATGTGTCTCTCTAGAAACCGCGCCCGTTGCGTCCCATTGGCGAAATGCCACTCGGATTTAACGTACTCTAGGTAATGCGCTGTGGAGCAGAAATAAGCTGGTTACGGGGTCGCCTCCTGGAAGGAGACTGAGGAGGCGCCACCAATGAAAGGGTTGGGTTTTCTTCGGTACTGGGACCCCTGGCTGGCTCCACCCACACCCCCACTACCTGTACCCCAGGGGTTCACCCTTCATCTGCTTGGCCTGGGAGGCCTCCCCTGCGGAGGAAATCCCTCCAGTGTGAGCCTCCGGGATCTCACCCAGTGTCCGCGCCGGCTCCCGACTGCAGGAGCAGCTGGGCAAGACCCCACCTGCTCCCCCAAGCCTCCTGCAGGCGCCGCCACCTTCTCTGCTCCCATCCCGGGCCCCGGGGCCCCTCAAAGATGCCCCCTCACCCCGTAAACACATGGTTAGGGCTGACCTCGGGCCGGGCTTGTGCTGCCCGCTGCCAGTCCAGAGGAGAGAAAAACATGCACGTCTCCTCCCCTGGCGGAGCTCAAAGTTCAGTGCAAGTGATGACAAAACCCAGCACACAGATGGGGGTGAGAAATGCCCAAAGGAAAGTCTGAATTTCAGGGCCTCTCTGGTGGCGCAGGCGGTGAGCACTGAGCTGTGAAGCTGTCCGCAGCCTCTGCAGCGCGGGTTTGATCCTGGCCGGCCTGCGAAGGTCCCACATGGCGCAGCAGACCTCTCCTGTGGCGCCCGCTGCTCCCCTCAGCAGTGTATTTCAGCCAATCTGCCTGTTCTGTTCCCCGCTCTGTCTCTGGTGAATCCTTTCACACATACACCCCGTCCCCCATGCCCCGCCCCGCCCCGCCCCCGCCCCGCCCCGCCCCGCCCCGCCCCGCCCCGCCCCGCCCCGCCCCGCCCCGCCCCGCGCATCTGGCCTGTACACCGGTTCTTGAATGAATAAATCAATAAATCTTTTAAAGAAAATTTTTGTAAACATGTCTTTTGAAACTCTTGGTCCTACATGAGGTTTGTATTTTGGAGGAATATGTTGGGTTACAGCAGAGAGCTAGTTTTCCAGAAACTAAATTGGTTTGCCTTGACAACAAATTACCCAATCATACCATTTATTTTCATATCATCTCCTTTCTTAATTTCTTTGCTACTGGTCCACTAAATGGATATTTTATTCCTATTCAATGTCCGAAGTAATTGATTTTCCGACTTTGTCTCCTGCTCCCAGTAATACCAATAGTCATCAAATTACCAGTCTTGGTCAGATGAAGACCTCTCATTCCTGTAGTCAAATGCCCTCAGAAAGAAAGAAACTAAGAAAATGGGATTTTCATAAACACATTTTACAAAAAATGAGTGGGTTCTCAGATTTCTCCAATTAGAAATGATGGCATAGAGAAGTTCACTCTGGATCTGACCCAGTTCTATTTTATAGTCAGAAGTTCTCTAAGTATATTCTTGAAATAGGGGACAGTTAAAAAATTAAAATGTATGAAGTTATTCTTCAATGTGGCTTGTATAATTAGCACTTTTATATAGTTAGTTAACTAACACCAGTTAGTTCTTGTCCATGTGACCAACTTATTGTTCCCGGATTTAGCAAATAAAAACATAGGATGCCCACTTAATCTGGATTTTGTTTGTTTAATTCAGGCTTAATTGGAGATCCTGTGTTTTATTCGGCAGCCCTAGCAGAACTTGCTAACACTACCTCAGGGCAAAGAAATATTTAATACCTTCTTTAATACGTTAATGCAACTTCTTTGCATTCTTCAATATGTGCCTGTGATGACCAACACAAGGTGAAGCCACATGAAACTTTTCAAATAATAAATACAAAATGAGTATTTCCCCTATTTATTGAAACTAATGGCCCTTACATCCCTCCCAACCTTAATACACACACTGTTACATGAACATTAGAAACATCTCAATCAAACCACTAGTCACTGATGGTGGTTAGAAGTTCAAGCTCTAGAATCGGAAAATCTAAAAGAAAATCTAAATTTAAACACAAGTTCCTTCCATTTGGGTGAGTTGCTAATGCCTATGAATCTTATTTTTCTCTAAAATGAATTTACTGATGGCATATTTCTCACAGAAATACTATTGTGTGAAAATTTAAGTCTTCCTAGTGCTCATCACGTAATAAGTACTCAATACATTTATTACCATTTCAATATTTATAACTCCTATGAATGCAAGCTCACAAGATCTTTCATTCCTTAACTACTAAAAGTATATTCATCATGATGTGGCAACTGTCTTTTATTAATTTTATCACTAATTATCATTTCAAACACATATAAGGGCAGAAACATAGGTTACTGCACATAAAGGAGCTCACATGAACCTACCACAAAAGGAACATGCTGACATAGGAGAGAGGGACTGTCTGTATACTCAGATTTGGACCACAAAACCTAGATGTAAGCACTAAATATATGACACGAGGTAAATTACTTAAATTCTTCAAATTTTACATTCCATAGATATACAGGTTTTTATGTGATAAGATAGCTATGGGAATTGCATACTGAAATTTGGAGGCCAGATATATAGTAACTACAGATAACTATGACTCTTCATGCAGATAGAGAGCTCATCTGTTTTGGTATCACTCAATCCTGATCACCTAGGGCAATAACTGGTGTGTTCTAGATCACTAAAATTCATTGACTATATATAATAAATTGGTAGCTTTTTTTAATAAGCTGTAATCTCTGCACACAAGGGCTCTCTAGTGCTTCCTTGCTAATGATTGCACATCCCTTGTTCTCAATTTTCCCCAACTTCTCTTCAGGCTCTTTTATTCTTACACTTTAAATCCAGCTAATGCCCCCAACCCAGAGAAAAGTCTTCCCCTGGTGACAGCTACTCCAAAGAGTCATCTGTAATCTATCCTTCACTTCTGTAGCTCCTGTTCACTCTTCAAATGATCCAATACTGTTTTTTTGTATTATATGTCAAGTCTAACAAACTCAGTACTCCCTTATCTGTCCAGTTCTCACTTCACTCACTGTTTAGTATAATCATCTCACATGAATACCCTCTCTTTCTTGAAAAAATCTATTTTCCTTCACTTCCACACATCACACTCTCTTGTTTTTCCTCAACATCACAGGCATCCCTTCCCAGACCCCTGTGATGATTGGCCCTAAGTCCTCTGGCTTTAACTTTTTCGCTCTTCTTATCTTACACACACACTCTCTCCCTACATGCCCCTCTACTTTCCTGGAATTTAACATAGTACACGTGTCAAGATACCAATGAATATACCCCATCTCTGACCTCCCTCTGAACTCCAGTCTCAACTTGAGCTCGTGACTATTTTCATCAACAATGAAAAAACATTTCAAACTTAGCAAACAAAACTTTACTCTTAGCCACCCACTTCAATTTATTTCCATCTACATATTCTCTATCTCAACAAATAGCACTATCAAGCTTATTCCAGTTATTTAGACAAAATACTTAGAAATAACCTCATTTCTATTCCCTTGCCTATTTAATTCATTAACAAGTCATATGACATCAAAAATACCTTCAATTTATTTTTACTATTGTCTTTGTCATACCACCCATAATGAAGCCACAGTATGTCTTCCCTGCATGATTCTACCATGCTCCTAAGTGGTCTCCCTCACCACTTGTGAATCCCTACAATCCAATTCCCACATTGTATTTAGAAGTATTTTTTTAATAAATATAAATGGACTCTCCTCTAAGCCCTTCAAGAGCTTCACAGTGAAGGGGGAAGTCAAGAAATGAGTATAGACAGTCAGTCAGGACCAGATGTCCTAAGCTCATTTATTAAACTGAAGGAGGAACAATTGGTTGGAGGCAGGGTACCCCCAACCCAGTAAACATTGAATCTTCAGAACACCAAGACAGTAACACAGTATCAAAGCTCTTTCTGGAAAATAGACTAGGTAACCTAGGAGACTCAGTGGGCCTCAGGTAATCAAGAAACGCAACACAGAGACACCAAATGGCTAAAACCCCTCCACTCCTTGCCCATTCTACCCATATATGTACTTGCTTCTTGCCCCCTCAGTGGCAGCTCCCCAGGGATCACACTCTGCTCAGATTGCTTTCCTGTCCCTCTCTTTACCTGCCAATAAATCTCTTGCTTTTCTGCCTAACTCTGGTCTCCAATTGAATTTCCTCCTGTGGAGATAATAACTGAGATCCCATTAACATCCTGCTCTGTCTCTGGACAGATTCTGTCTCTGATCCACCTGGTGCCCTGACTGTGACTCAAATTCACTTATCTGTCTCTGTCTTTCTTCCCTACATCTTCTCCCCCTCTGTTCTCTGGTGGACTGAGAGCAATCCTTGAGGCAACTGAGGTGGGTGGCAATGCACCACTTCCTAGAACTGGCGCAAGGCTCCTTGGAGAGCTTAACAACCACCTTAAGCTCAACAGGGAGGAGAACAGTCTTCTTTTTCCTTAGAAGCCCCCTTTCACTTTTCCCTCTTTCCTTTCCTCATCCTGCCCTATGACTGAGTGTTCTAGTTTCTTTCTCTGCAAAACCAGTGGTCAGTTTTCAGGGAGCTCAAGAACCCCATCTGGTGGTTTGTATGGAACTCAAATCTCTGAAAACTCAGAAGGGGTGGTGATTTTCTCTCAGAAGGGTGAGTGAAAATCCCCCTTCTATCCTTTATTTTCATTTCTACAGTCTATGAATCTTCAATAAGACTCCCCCAAAATACCAGTGTAACAGGGTGGACCCCAGAAAGGGGGAGGCACCAGGTTCCCTGCCCCATTCAAGGAAAGGTGAAGCTGAACAAGGAGGAGAAGCTGAAGAGGAGACTGGAGAAGGAAGGAGAAGGGAGGAGAGCAAGAGGAGACCTGGGGGAGGCACATGGAGCACAGAGACATGGAGCAGAAGAAGCTGCACTTGCTTCTTGGCCTTGGACTGATTGAAACAGATGTGTGTGAGAGACTCATGGGGAGGTTAACAATAGCAGATTTGATTCTGAGTTTGATTTTGTTCTTTTTTTCCAGACTTTCTGGCCCCTTTTGCCCCTTTCCTATGGGTCCCCACCAGGAGGTGCCTTAGACTTGTGACAGACTTTCAGGCCTCAGCGGCCCTGCTTTGGGCCAACCCTGTGTAGTTGTACATTTATCCACGAGGGATGGGTAACTTTGGGTGCTTGATTTATAAACTATATTCTTTGTCTTTTCTTTTAATCTTCTCTTTATTGCACACTAATTATTTTAAAGCTCCTTTCCATTAATGGTCTTATGCACTAGAGTATGTTTTGTTGTGTTGATGCGGTGGATGGCAGAACCTATTTAGAGTGGGCAGGTTTGGGGGTACTAGGGTGCACCTCTCCCTACCTTGAAACACCAGGAACCCATCAGTCTATTATTCAATATTCTGATAGAATGGCTGCCAAACTTAAGACTCAGGGGACAGAGAGTGTGGTATTAAATA